AGTCTTCAGCAATTCACATAACCACCAACAGAGTCGGAGAGTTGCCCTGCCACACCCAACAGAAGATGTTACTACTCTTTTAAAAAGTGCACCACTAAATTGGGTGTGGTGGTACATTCCTATAATCCCAGCAGCTTGGGAGGCTGAGGCAGGAGCACTGGGGGTTCAAAGCCAAAGCCAGCCTCAGCAACTGTCAAGGTGCTTATCAACTCAGTGAGACCCTGTCTCTAAATAAAATACAAAATAGGGCTGGGGATGTGGCTCAGTGGTTGAGTGTCCCTGAGTTCAATCCCCGGTACCAAAAAAAAAAAAACAACAACAAAAAAAAACTCTTTATTTTTTAATTTGCATTTCTCAGACCATTAGTGATGTTTTGAACCTTTTCTGCTGACCGATCATTTGCATCTCTTAATTTGCATCTCTTTTTCTGGGAATTGCCTATTCACATCCTTTGATCATCTTTCTATTGTTTTGTCCTTTGCACAGCATTTAATCACACCCTCAATCCCCACCCTCAATTGATTAGATACACAAAATACAAGAGTATCATCCTCCAGAGACCCAGAGACTGAATGTTTCAGGTAAGGGCAGGGTCTGTCTTAATAAGAACATGGTAAACCTTCAAGAATATTTGCTGAATTTTGTTTGTTAAAATTGCAGCTAGAAAAGTATAAAGGAAATACAAATGTTCATTACTTGTTCTACATTTTCAGCACAGCATCAGTTTGACCAAAACTAAATTGCTGGTTAAGAGAAAAAACAAAATCATGGTCTTGGCACTGACTCTGAAAATCCACTGTGAAATGGGTAAATGAGCCCAGTTCTAATTCATAGCTGTGGCTGACACATAAATAAAGGCTCTCACAACCAAAGCATTTTGTACCCAGCCTGGTCCACCAGCTGCCATTCAAATGGCACCTGCCACAGAGCCAAAGGTTGTTAGATAGTCCATGAACAAGAAAGGCCTACCTTAAGTATTTTATTCCTTTTTTGTTTTTGTTTTGCCCCTGCCTCCAAGACTTGCTTACCTTTCAAAATTGCCTCCTTATGGGGGTTGGGGGGTGGCCTGCAGAGAAATTTGGCAGAGTTCAGATTCCTAAACTCTTTTAACTTTAGGGAAAACATCTGGCTAGGCCCACCATTTATTCCCATTATTTGTAATAGTTCTGTTTGGCTTATGTTTTAACTAGTCTCCTTATTAAATATAAAAGCAATAGGATTAAAAAGTTCTGGGGGAAAGTACTGTAATTAAAAAGGCACCAGTTGGGTATGTGAAGCTATAATTCTGAGCTGCTCATTATATTTTTCTTCTTGTCTTTAAAGGGTTTTGTACTCAATTTTAAAAGACTTTGAATTATTTAACTAATTTTTAATACTTCCTGTATTAGCCAAACACCACCCAAAATCTACAAGAAAACATTATGACTCAAAAGTTCTGGAGCATAGTGTCACAGATCACAAACTAGAGATACTGTCCCAAGAGTCTGAGCATGCCCCCACACATAAACACAAACAATACAGGGCCTGACAAATTGACAAGCAACTTTCTAAAGTGCATAGGTATTACCTAACCCTTTGAAGTTACAAAATCTTAATAGGAAAAAAAGGCAAGAACTTTAATCAAGCCATGAAGTTATGATAATAGCAATCAGGCAAGAGGCAACAAAGCCCAGTTTTGAACACATAAAAAAGAGATAAATATTAAGGTAGTAAACTTGGGAATAAGAACTGGAGGTATGTAATAAAGTTCCTCTTTGAGTTGTTTTTATAAAATTTTAATATGCACAAAAATATGTGACATATAGTTATAGAGTAAAATGGTAAAATTAATAAACATATTTAGGTGTGTAATTCTTTCTCTGAGCATACATGATAAAAAATTATAATGTTCATCACCTGTAACTGCTTATGAAAAGGAATGATCTGGGAGTAGAGGGTGATGGGAATCACTGTAATTTAGTGAAAGAAAAGAAACTGGAATAGAAAATCACACACATGCACATGTGTGTGCATACACACACACACACACACACACACACACACCCCCTTTCTTAAATTCTATCTTCACTTAAAAATATTCTAGGGAAGAGTGTTTGCAAAAACACAAAATGAAACAAAAACCTTGAACAAGTAGAGTCAGCAGTAGGTGAATTAAAAATACACAGATAGCTTACACATACTGAGTACCTAGTAACTCATTCAGCAGGGTTAGATTTTTCAAAGTTCACTTTCCCTTTGAAGATAGAAGTGCAACATCAATGCCTAATATAAAGACATCCTAGTAATTATTTAATGCCTACTAGATAACTGAAAACTGTACAAAGGCAGAGAGAAAATGGTGGTTCCACCAGTCAGAAAGAGGTATTTCCTACCACCTCTCAGACTGGAAACTTCATAAAGCAGATGGAGGTTTTCTGCACTACTTTCTCTTCTAAATTGGAGAAATGTTATCTTGGTGTTTTCCACTATTCTTAATGCTCAATGTAAAAAAAGAAATTAAAAGTGTTCCTGCAGGTAACCCTCCTGCCCCAAGGCCACTTTCCCCACCCACTATCCTCCTCAATTTTTGCATAGATAAATGAGCAATCAAGAAGATAGAATCTTGGAAACTCAGTGTGTGACATTGACGTGGGAAGCACTTATTGAAGTGAATAAATAGCAAAGAAGCAGCCTATAAAAACCTGACATCACATCTAGATGAAAGCCTCTGTACTCCCTCCACATACAGTTCTCCCCCCGCCCCACGTTTTTGTGGTTCTTTCCATCCTCTCCAATGATGAAGACCCAATATGCTGACATGACCTCAATACTGTGACATCATTTCATTAAGACTTAAAGGAGAAAAGCTGGGACATTCTTGCACTCATCCCATCCCATCATAGGGCAGCAAACACGCCCCCCCTCCCTTCACAAAGCAAAGGTCAATCTATCTACAAAAGTAAAGATTTTCCACCTCCCAGCTAAGAAGTCCCCACCTCCAAGCTCTAGAAAAGAGGATAACCAGCAACCTGAGGAACGCCTCACTCAGCACACGCAGGCGCTCTTGGAAACAAAAGTGGTACTTAAAGCACCTGGGTGCTTGAAACCTACGTGTATTTTCGGACCCGTTTCTCTAGAATATCATCCCTGCTCTCCTGCCTTAAATTGTGTCTCTGACAATATCAACTCCTCTGCTCATTCCTCTCGTCTTCTGGAAATAACCACGGGTTATTTTCACCACGAGCCGTTTTCACCACAAGCCGCAGGAATTCTTCCTTCGCCAGTTATCTCGGCTCTTCCCCAGCATCAAGAACGCAAGTTTCCCCCACGTGTCACCTGAAGCCCCAACTTATGGAAACGCCCCCCATTCCTCGCCTACAGCAGCAGGCACTATCCTAAGAGCCCAGCACGTAGAGGCCGGGCGCTTATTGCTTTGCCGCCACAGCCAAGGAGGCGACTGGAGGCTTTTGGCTAGCAGACCCAAGCCAGGCCCTCGCCAGGATCCGCGAACTGGTGCGCCTCCTCTCTTGCCGGGAGTGAGCCCTAGCGCCCGGCGGAGCATGAAAGCGACCCCGAGCGCGGGATAAATGCTCTTCACCCAGCGCAGGGCCCGGGACGCGGCCGTGCGCACCGCTCCGAGGGAGCGCCGGGGGCGGCGGTAGGGAGAACACGCCAGGGAGAGGGGCGTGTTCCCTGAACCTCGGAGCACTAAAGCCGTATCCGCGGGACAGGGACACCGGGGAGCCAAGCGCTAGGTCAGTAACCACCGGTCTCAGTCCCAAATATCGTGGGGCCGGCCTGGCGACGCGCTGCAACCCGCGCGCCCTTGCGGGGACAGCCGCCTCGGCGCCTGCCTCAGCGCGCAAACTTTCCCAGTGACAATCGCTCCTGCCTCCCGGAGGAGAGTCGCGCTATCCTCGGGGCTCAGAAACTGTTCGCCCCCTCCCCTCCGCAGCCGAGACCCACTGAAAATATGGCGCCCTCGAACGTCGTTCCTCCGGCCCCTCAGGGATCCCGAAATGCCTGTTTCCAGGTCCCTGTGGCTCCCAGTGGGCGCGAAATCAAAGCTCGTGGGGCCGGGGAAGGAGCCGCTCAGCCAGTGAGAGGCCACCGCTCTAGATCCAAACCCTGCCCTCGCTTTCGGCCGGGAGCTTCCCCAGTCTCTCAGCGGCCAGCAGTTTGCTAGTGGCGAGAATGGCAAGTGAAGGGGAGTCGTGGAGTCTGCAGGTCTAAGGGTCTAGCTCTGAGAAGGAGCTCCCGGTTGTCTTTGCCGGGAGCCTCGGCGGGAGTCTTGTTTGCAAAGTGGCGTTGGAGTCCGGGCGGCCAGTGCTGGAATGAAGCCGCTCCGCCCTCGCCAACTCTCCTGGCGCGGGGGCCCGGTCGGGGTCGAGGGGACACTCCATGCAGGCGGGGCCGCTTTTCAAAGCCCAGTTACCGGAAACCCGCGGGAGCCCCGGAGGGGATCAGCTGCCCACAGCCAGGAATCCGCTCTCAGGCGCCGGCTGCGAGACTGTTTGCAAACCGCGGCGCCCAGGTCGAGTGCAGTGAAACGTACATGTGCAATAGACAGGTGCATTAATTTCAATTTATTTTTATTTTCCTGCAAAAAGCCCTCCCAGAACATGAAATCTGGGAGCTTTGCGGGTTTTTTTCTGCATTGACATCACTCACGAGATGCAAAAGGGAGGAAAAATCACCCACATTTTCCTTCTGGAGAGGGGAGGGAAAAGACATGAGAAATTCATGCAGCGTGCATGCAGCTGGAGGAAGAGAAAAACCCGAGTGAGCCGTGCGCCTTACCGGGGGATGCATTTACTGTCTCATTGCAGAGCGCCTGCCCCGGAGTGCAGCCGGCGTCCCCCCGCGCGCCCGGCGATCGCTCCGCTCCCGCAGCCGCCGCAGCCGCCTCAGCCGCTGCCGCCACCGCTGGCTCCGGGCGCGGAACAAGAGCCGAGGGCGAGCGCGAGCGCACGGCCCGCGAGCGCCAGGAGGGCAGGAAGCGCGTCATCACTCGGGGACGGCGCGGCTCCGGTGCGGGCCCGGCGCCGCACGGCACCCGAGTCGGGCCGGCACCGATGCTCTGGAGACTCTCTAAGGTCTCTATACAGCTGTGCCTTGCCGGGAGGCTCTTCGAGAGCAACGCGCCCGCGAAGTTTTCGCGGGGAGACCGGGTGCAGAGTGTCTGCGAATCCCCAGAACTCGGGCTCTGCTGTGTAAAGGGGATTAAGCGGGGAGGGACTCGGCATCTTGTGGAATGGAAGTGCCTTCCCGGGAACATTGGCCAAGTCCTGGAGAAAGAGAAGTGTGGCTTTTACCGTGGGTGAAGTTCTGCCGCAACGCGGGTGGCGGGAACCCGGGGCGAGCTTGCCCCCTTCAGCACGTTCACCGACGCCCTGCTGGTCGAAGGTCACTTAGGGATTTGGGGGAACGACTTGAGGGATGAGTGGAAGAAGAGGCGTGTTCTATTTACAAAATAATTAAAAATTTTCTCCCGTCTACCATGCCCTTGAATAACATCAGTTATATACTTCGCCCCTTCAATTTATAGCTATTGGGAAATGCCATAGGGAATGTGGATCAGTGTGAAGATTATTAAGGAGGCAAGGAGACAAATCCCAAAATACTGTGTACCCTGTTATCCCATTTTTAAAAGTTATCATGTATGGAAGGAGGCAGAAAAGACTGGGCAAATAATACCAATGCTTTCACTGGGTCTCTTGGTGATTGGTGGGATTGTGGATGGGTTTTCTTTTTCTGCTTAATTCTAATTTTTCTGTAAAGGAGACATTAGTGTTGTAATTTCAGGGGAAAAAATAAAGTAAGAAATAGTTTGGTGCTTTTCCCCTCACCCCAGTACAGAATGGCCAGGGTAGACCCCTCTTTCCAAAGAATAGGTAGCAAATCTCTTTAGTTACTCAAACTCTTTAGTTACTGCAACTTTTCATTGTTTCTTAGAGCATGAAACAGCTGTCACTGTAAACTCAAGAGTGTGTTGATTTTGTAAATTGAAACTGTCTCGGAGAAGCCCACTGGGACATTGGATAAGACTGGACATTCTGTAAGAACAAGTGCATGTTCTTATCAAGACTGACAAACCTGATTGTATGACTTAAGAGATCTTTATAACCTTAGAGTACGACTTTGTAACTTATTCTCTTTGCAGAGAATAAACCTTACAAATCAAAAACACAATCAGAACCAATCAGTGGCCACTTGAGGAAGTCCTAAAAGTTGCAGAGCACAGACTGTTTCTAATTGCACAGGTAAAATGCTTCTGTTCACCCCTTTTTAAACATTCATCAGCCTAACACAATAACTAGTGGTGGCAGCAAGTCACATCAGGGAGTGGTTAAAAAAAATGTTTCAGTATGAGCCTGGTAATAAGCTCATTAATGCCATTTAAGTTATCCCTTCATTCACTGACAAATAGTAACCATATTTTTATAGCTCTAGTGCCAGGATTACATAAGACATGTATCAAAAAAGAAGAAAAGTCCATTGCATCTGATGTCATTTTCTCCTCTCCCCAGTTCATGGGGTGTAATGGCTACCCATAAAGCATATCAAAATCAGTTTGTTCCCCCTACACCCTGTTGGATTTCAAGCTTTCCCATCATTTATTCCATCTTCCTTGAAGTAAACCCACATTTTTCCACTACTCAACATTGAGATGCCAGCCAATTATAAGATAAGCCCCATGAGAGTAAGGATCTTGTCTTCATTTCTATGCCTAAAAAAGAGCCTGGCACATCGTTGGTGCTCAATAAATATTTGTTTCATATAAATAGCATATTTGTACACTATTTGTTTAGTTCCTGAGTTATTAGAAACATTCTTTCTTATTAGACTGTCAACATAATCCTGGAATGCTTCCACGTAGATTTATAGCCTTGGTTTAATCTAGTAATTTTACTCTTTTCAAAGAGTAAATCTTAGGATATTCAAAGCAGTGAGGTGCAGGTGTCTGAATAGCTATAATTACAAATCCAATTAGTTCTATTCTGTGGCTCTCTTAGATCAATTAAACCTTTTCAATTGATCTAGTGAAAAAAAAAACGTCAATCCTAAAATTCTTTGCTTATGTACTAGCTTCAAACCAACTGACTTTGAATATTTCATTTTATAATACCTCAGTTTCTATAACCACTCTTATTATTTCAAAACTATTTGCTGATTCTTTAGAAAAACCACTAACCATTTTATTGCCTATACTTTTCAACAAATTCCCCCATAGAAGTAAAATTGATTTTATCAGTCAGTAACTTATTGTAACTTCTCTGAAATTGACTCTCTTCTACTAGACCTGAGAAGTGATTTCTAAATTTAGAGTCAAATGTTAGTACCCTTTATCTTTACTAGTCACAGTGATCATAGCATTACAGACCAGAAAACAAAACTAAGACAACAACAACAAATCCCAGCTAACTTCTTTTAAAAAGGTTATATTTGGGGGATTTGTTTCTACCAGCAGAGGAAAACAGATGGTAATTTCTCTTAAGAGTATGTAGGACCTGAGAGAACAACTCATTCTATCGGAGCAATTTCCAAAGCCTTTATACATGTCCTATTTCCTGCTCAGCAGATTATGGGTAACTGAAAATAGATACATTTTGTATACATAAAGAATACAATTTTTACAGGGGTGGGTTGAGGGTGGGGTAGGGAGTGGCTTATGCCTATGACTGCTCAGGCAGGAGGATTGCAGATTCAATGCCAGCCTCTGTAACTTAGTGAACCCCTAAGCAATTTAGCAAGACTCTGTCTGAAAATACAAAATATAAAGGACTAGGAATGTGGCTCAGAGGTAAAGTGCCCTTGGGTTCAATCTCCAGTACAAAAAAAAAAAAAAAAGAAGAAGAAGAAGAAAAGGCAATATTTGAAGAAGCAAATAAAAAACAATTTTCAAATCACTTAACAATAAATAATCTGAAAGAAAAACTAATTTTTTCCACAAGTTAGATCTATAATTACTGAACTAGACATTACTTGATTCTGAAGAGCTGAATGCTGAGAGATTGTGTCCCCCTCCTCCTGTGGAACTTAACTTTCTGACATCCTGTCTGCATCTGTATGTATCTGGGGTCACATTCATTCAGCTTTCATAGCTGAACAAACCCAACTATATTTGGTGGGATTATTTGAAACCCACCAAATTTGGAATTGAAAAGAAATTCCACCAGATATTCCACTTTTATTTATAAGATCCTATTTTGTGCCACGGTAAACTATCTTCTAAGGGATTCTTTGATATAGAATATGACATAGATTCCCCTCCTTTCAAGAAGCTTATATCCTCTCCCAGGAGTAAGGTAGAAGTAGAAATCACATTTTCTAAAAATTGCCTATTACTCAGAACCAGTGATGAAAACAAAATATTCAAGCTTCTATTCTCATTTGACATCTTCAGGTTTTTAAAATTTTCCCCATCTCTTCTAATTATAAACTCTAGGAGAGAATATTACATAAGTTGAAGGACAACATAAAGATTTTTTGTTGTAATTGTTTGTTGTTTTGTTTTGTTTGGGGGTACTGGGATTTGAACCCAGGGGTACTTTACCATTGAGCTACACCTCCAGCCCTTTAAAATTTTTTTTTTAGTTTGGGACAGAATCTTGCTGAGTTGCCCAGGTTGGCCTCAAACTTGTTATTCTTCTGCTTCAGCCTCCACAGTCACTGGGATTACAGGTGTATGCCTGGTTATAAGTTATTTTTACTTTATTCAAAAAGAAGATATTTGACATTTTGCAAGAATTAATATATTTTATCTTTTTAGCTATCTCTGAGTAGAGCTTCATCTTATTCCTGACAATTCAGGATGAAGTGATAGATATAAATCTAATTCATTCTCCCCCTGCCCTCTCTTTCTCAACTTCAGTTGAGGCACAGATTTATTTAGAAAAGCAAGGAGTACACATCCAAGAGGGAATATAGGCTATCTCAAGAATAACAAACTATCTCTTTTAAAAGAAGGCATTGGTCATATAGATTCAGGAAATGATTGTTATCATTGTATTCAACACAGGACGTCCTTGAGATAACTTTTTATTTTATTATAGTATATATAACACACTACAGAAGTTTTTTGAAGTGTCTCTGGAGCAACATCCAGAAGAATACCAATAATTATTTTTCTAAATTGGATTTATTTTTAATTCAAATCAAATTGTTAATATAGAGTGAAAAATTTGGGAGGTAGCGTGTTTTTCTTTTGGTTGACTTAAGAAGAAATGTATGGGGTTATACTGTGTTTAAAGTTCTTTTTAAAGTTATTGTGGATCTTCAAAACTGTTTATTTCATATGTGACTTTTACGAATCTGATCATTTGAGATTTTTATAAAGTATTCTATCTAAATGTTTTCATGAAATGTTCTATAATATCAAGATATTAAAGGAAGACTTTAAAATTAAAAAGAAAAAGTTTAAATCTGTGTTCACAGCCCATTGACCTCTTGGCTCTGAAGGTGTTAAAATTTATTTGTAGGTTCCAAAAGATTCTTTTAAAACATTTTATTACTAGGTACATTGGTGTACAACTGTAACCCCAGCAACTTGGGAGACTGAGGCTGGAGGTTTGCAAGATCAAGGTCAGCCTAAGAACTCAGAAAGACCCTCAGGAACTTAGCAAGATCCTATATTTTTTTTTTTTTAAAAAAAAGGGTGGGAAATGTAGCTCAGTGATAGAGAATCCCTGGGTTCAATCATCTGTAGAAAGACATAGAGAATGAAAGAAGGAAAAAAGAAAAAACTTGGGGGGATAAGACCAACTGTAATTTTAAAATAATGTATCCATTATCATTTAGGAAATATTGCAGGTCTACCTAAAATGGAATGGATTTGTTCTAAACAAAAATTATTATTTCATGTGTAAATTAGACATGAAATAATATTTTTTGTTTAATTTATAAATTAAAGTGATCAACTGAAAAAATAGTAAATATAAGTAGAAAATACTTGGATTTTTATTGTAACTTCAGGGAGGTAACTGGTGACTTTGTATTTACTTAAGACCAATAAATATGTCTGGTACAATTTTTATTTTCCTATTTTTTAAATCAATTTGACAAAGTGTTTACAGAGTTGATGCCAGGACTCATTATGAGCAAGACAGTCTCTTTTCCAAAATAAAATGTAACCCCTTTTTTCAGGAGACCTGACACTCCTTTTTAAGATTAGAGAAGTCACACCAGATATTCAAATTGATTATGTTGGTAAAAAGCCTTTTTCTTTTTCTCCTTTCATCTTCTGATTTCCTTCAGAATTATGAGTTTCAGACGTTTAGAAAATACCAGAAGAAAACTTTTTTTTTTCCCTGAGGGCAGTCCCAGGCCCAAAGGAATAGATGGGGTTCTGTTGTCCTATATCTGTTACCCATAGCAGACTAGGCATGGCCTGGAAGCTTTAAGACTAACTCCCTCCCTTACCAAGAGTTCTGATGGACTGTCTCATACATTTTTTTTTTTTGTCTCACCATTTTAAATATACTTCTACTTCCTCCCAGATCCACCTCCTAGCATGCCATTGGTTCAGGAGCTTTTGCTTTTCTTCAGATTACCTATAAAGGTCATTCCACTGAGATTTGGCAGACTTTTAGCATTTCTACTTCATTTTATCTTTATTTTCAGGATTAGTAAAAAACATCCTTGCAAAGACTGTAAAGCTGGCTTTCTATGTCATGAGAAAAGTCAGAAGACTGCTAAGGAAAGAAGGAAGAAAGAAGGACATACCTATTCAGGTAATTTTTAATGCAACAACTCTTAACATTATTTTTAAATGTTTTCCCATTGCAATTTAAGGTAAGAACAAAAAATAAACTCTAGTACCAACTCAATTAGCTAAATAGTTTTCTACCTGAAGATGACAAAGAAGTAATGTTTTATTTTCCCTAACATCAGAAAGATTATTTTACAGAAACGTAATTTTGATCATCTATAGAACTAAAGGTTTTTAAATCTTTTATTTTATCTGGTAGTACTAGAGATTGAACCTATGGGTTCTCTGCTTTAAGCTTATCTCCCACCCTTTTTCTTTTTATTTTGAGACAGGGTCTTTCATTTTTCCAGGCTGGCCTTGAACTTTTGATCTTCCTGCCTCAGTCTCATGAGTAGCTGGGATTACAGGCTTGTGCCACTGCACCCTGCTTTAAATGGCTTTAAATGTAATCATATTTAGCTCAGAACCACACAAATATTATGGGAAAATTGAGCTCTTACAATAATCAGTGGCATGGAAGTATAATTTTAACATCACTTAGCTCTCTGGGTCCACTCCATGCTACTCTCTTACTTTAATGGATTGATATAGTAGCTAAGTACAGAATGCCCAACATAAAAACTTTCTAAATTCACTGGGCTTCAGTTATTCTACTGACTGGCAAATCCTTTCTTCCTTGCCTGTAACAATTGGTACAGCCATGTAGATTTCTGAATGGAAAATAAAGACAATGAAAATAAAGGAATCGATCATACTCAATCATAAAAAAAGTTTCCTTCTTTTATGCCTACAATCAAAAGTAAGGCATTAATGAATTGATACTAAACTCTATCATTTTGATGCTGACATGTGCCATAGTATCTAGTACCCATAGCATTGTCATTTTGATAAAGTGATTCTTTCCAATAAATGTGACCCTTATATACCCACTTTTTATAATCAGTAGATGACCAGGGCATTAGGAGGGGGAAAAATGAACTAGGAAGAGGGCAAATTTATAAAACTAAAATTCTTTCCTTTTGTAATGTTTCATTCCCTCTTTTAAAAATTTGATCACTCCTTTCTTGGGTGTCCTTTCAGAATATTCTAGGCATATATAAGCATAGACATACATTCACTCTTTCCCACAATTGCTAGTATACTGTTTTTGCAATTTGCTTTTGTTGTTGTTGTTGTTATATCTTTGTATGTAGGTGTTTTTTATTTTAAATGTTATTATGAGAATTTTCAAACATATAACAAAAATAAAGATAGTATCATAATTAACCCCATGTAATTTATCATCTAACTCAATAATCTCATGATATGACTACTTGCTTCTCCTAGCACTTTTGTTGTATTTTATATTTTGTAGTACTGGGGATTGAATCCAGTTGTGCTTTACCATTGAGCTACATCCTCAGTCCTTCTTATTTTTTTATTTTGAGACAGGGTCTTACTAACTTGCCCAGGCCAACTTTGAAATTGTGATTCTCTTGCTTCAGCCTCTCCAGTTGCTGTGAATACAGGTGTGCAACACCATGCTCAGTAGTATGGGCACATATTAAAGCAAATCTCAAGGTACCATGTCATTTTACCCATACTCACAAATGTATACTACTCCCTAAATCATGTGGACATTTTATCACATACACACATGGCATTTTCACACTTTATAGAAGATGTAATTATTCATAAATTAGTAACTATTCCTTAGTATCACCTATATTATGATCACATCCAATCTGTATCTAGAGTCCCCTAATTGTTTTTTAAAATGCCAAATATTAGGTTTGTTTCCTGTGTTTCTTAAGTCTCTTTTTATCCAGGTATCTAGAATAGTCCATTCTTATTTCTATTATGGCACTGACTTGAAGAAAATTCCTTATTTCCCTCTATAATGTTCCACATTTAGGACCTATATGTTGCTACGTTGTGATATTGCCTAATTTGGTTATCTATCCTTCCATGTAAAGTTGAAGTTGCTGGTAGCAGCTTAATTAGGTTCAGGTTTGACTTCTAGACAAACATACTTCTTATTTGGTGCTGGGAGTCTGGTACTACATTCCATCAGGAGAACATAATGCCATGGTGTTTGCCTTTCATGAAAGCTAAGATTAACCAATACATGTTTAGGAGATGCCAGCAAGATCTGTCCTTTGTAAAGTTCCCATGAATCTTTTATCAAGTGCTTTCATCCACTGACTAGCGCTGCCTGCATTGATGATTCATTAAGGGGTGCAATACGGGAAATTCTAGCATTATTATGTGAAAGAATATAGTGGGCTACAGTCATTGTCTTTCCCTAAAAAGACTCATTAGATCTTAGAATTAACTGAATTGGAATATTTACATTAAAACTCATGGAAATATATCATAACAAGAATAAGCACTTTAAAGGATTAGTGGTGCAGCTCAGTTATAGAGTACTCACTTGAAGCCCTGGGTTCAATCCTCAGCACCACAAAAATGAAGAAGAGGAAGAGGAGGAAAAGAGGGAAGAGGAGGAGGATGAGGAACAGGAACAGGAAGAGGAGAAAGAGGAAGAGGAAGAAGAAGGAGGAGGAGGAGGCAGCTTTGGCAGTAAGCAACAGTGGCTCCATGGTGGAAAAACAGAGATAAAACTGGCATGGGGATAAGAATGCAGGCTATATAGGGACTCAAGAGCTTCTCAGGGAGTAGCTGAGGAATTGGAAGGTAAAAAGCAGTGAGCAGTTAGGAAATGGTAGAGGAAGATTTGCTGGAAGGTGAAAAGTATTGAGAGATATCCCAGCAGGAGTGGATGGTCCAACAGGAAACTAGGAGGATAACATGTGCAACACCCTGGGTTTAATCCCCAGCATAGGAAGGAAGGAGGGAAGGGTAGATGGATTGATGGATAGATGGAAGGAAGGAAGGAAGGAAGAAAAGAAGGAAGGAAGGAAGGAACCAAGTGAGAAAGACTGAGACTTCAGAGGAGATTAGAAGGGAATTGAGGAGTGATCATCAGTGTTTGATGCTGGGAATATCTATCTTCTCAGGGATGATGTCATGGCAACCTTATTTAAGGCTGAGTTTGTGAGGCAATCTCACCCTAGTCTACCCTCATTTTCCTACAAATGCATTCACTCCAGTATTGGCCTTTGAGCTGGATAGTGAAACATTTATGAAGGAAAAAAAAAAAAACACCAAAGTGACAAAGGTATATATGTATATACAAATGCCCACTTGTGTTACCTTGCCCTCTGTAGAGACTGGGAAACGGACAGAGACCCTCCAGGGACTTATGGAAATAGTTTCTCCTAGGATGGAATAGGGGAACCCAAATTTGTGACTAAGCTCTGGAGGAGGCCTGGAAAGAAAACTTGTCCAGGATGGAATATTTTGTTGTTGTTCTCAGATTCCAGGAAGGTAAGATAAAACTAAAAGAACCATTAGAATTACCCAAAAACAAAGAATTTGGAGTTAATATGGAGAGCACAGAGATGTTGAAGTGAGTGAATCAGGGACCCTGGGATCAGGAAGCAGCCAATCTCTATTCCTACCTGAGGGATCTGGCATAGGACATGATGTGGAATAAATGGGATACTTGAGTGCCCTTACCATATGTATGCTTCAGAAAACAAAAACAAATAGATATTTTAATTAATTAAAATAATATTAAGGACATCCTAGTGAATAGCACTAGGTCTTTCAATTAGTGTACTTTCAATACCTAGCACTGTGATGAGCACATGGAAAGCTACTGATATATTTTTTGAATGGATAAGCAGATTATGGATGGAACTCAAGCCAAAAGACCTGTTATTTAACAGGTCTTACAATAAGTGACCTTAACCCTTTGTGCCACTCACATCTCCATTATCATCCCACAACTGTTGTTCCCACTATGTTTTTACTCATAAAACTTAGACTTACTACATATTTACACTTCTGCCTCATCTGTCAGACCAAGCTTCCTGATGGCTTACTTCCCAGGGACCCATGTCTTATTTGTTTCCACGTCTTCAGTTCTTATACTAGGGCCTAGTACAGAATAAGTGCTGAGCAAATATCTGCTTTTAGTGGCTGGAGGAATGATCAGAAAGTAACTTACTGAAGGACTTAGGTTTTTGTTATTGATTCAGTTCAGTGTAATCAAAGGTGCCATTTCTGGATCCCCACAATGTACCAGATGCTTCCACTGTATATTTGGAGTAACTTATATGGATGAGGAAAATTACCTGGAAGAATCATCACAGAAGAAAAGGAGACCTCTGGCAGGCCATGCTGCTATTTAGAAGACAGTAAGCACTGCTTTACAGTTACAGTTTACTAGATCACCCTGATAGGGGCTGGATACCACCACTGTGGTCTTGTGTTGGCTCTTAGTTTCTAACCCATTTATCTTTGTTGTTTTCTAGGTACAGACTCAGAAACCATTTCTCATTTCCATAAAACATGTATGGCTGGAGTTGCTCATTCCTTCAGAAGAAATACTGGCTTCCCATATTGCCACAGCCAGATAGACAGATAGCCAGATAGACCATGATGAAATGTGAAACAACTTAAAAACTGAGGGGAATCTTTCAAGTCCCATATTTTTACTCTGCTGTTTTTTAAGATTACACCAAAGACATTGGCCTGAATTTAATTTTGCAATTGAGGACTTATTTGAAAGATTCTCTTTTCTATTTTACCTTCTACCCAAATTTATGCAGATCAGTTCTGTCAAAGTAATCACTTTCAGTGGGGGCAGTTTACTAAAGAGGAAAATAGTGAAATCACACTCAGGAATCCTAGGTTCTGCTGGTGGCTCCACATTAGATATGTGACCTTGGACATAGCCCTTTACTGTTAACATCAGAGTGTTTTTATTTGTAAATTAAACAGTTTAGGTCAAATAATTCATAATTATAACTTCTGGCTTTCTTTCATTTCTTTAATATCTATAAAATACATGACCAATGCTATTTATAGGAACTTATAATTCACTCCCTTGCACTGTAGTTAATGTACATCTTCTTGCCCCCACTGGAGTATAAGGTCCTCAGTGGCTGGAATGCATCTTATACTTTGTAGTGGATACTATGGTACTTCCACTGAGAACTACTTGCCCCAGCCCCTGGGAGTGTGGTAGCTGAAGGCTCTCATCGGAGTCCCTCTCCACTCCTTCCTGGTATAGTGATATGGGGGGCATATGGGGTTGGGACAGTCACTGTCCAGTGACTACATGGGTGATAAAGATCAAGGGGGAGCAACTCTGAAGAACTTCCCTTAAGATCAGCTAAGGTCTTTTAGGGACTGTATCACGGCTCACCTTTTTCCTCTGTCTATCCTACCATCCTTACTCCCTTACAAATGTGGTTCCTCACAACATTACCCAGTCAACCCCTGCATGCAAATCTCAAGAGCCAGGATCTGTTTTTTGGTGCCATCTTGTTTCTTCCCTAATACACACCCCATCCCTTTTGCAAGGTGTGTACAAATGAACTGATGTCCACAAGGGTGGAGACAGTGGAGGAGAGAAGCCCACACTGAGAGTAACCCTGCTATTTATCTCTGCAAAACCTGAAACTGACACTGCTTCTCCCAGAGTCCAAGTCTCCACTGGCAAAGCCCAAAACAGAGGAAATGTTCCCCATCAGTGAGGCTCAGTGCATGTTTTGTTCCTGCTCATCTCTTTTCATGTGTGTGTCTAATTTCTGGCAACAGCTAGAGTGGAGAGACTGGTCCCACATACCTTGACTAAGGCCAACAGAATACTTAAAAGTTGACCAATCTTTTTGTTCTCCTAAAGCCAGAGAAAAACCTTGGTTTTCTAACTGCTTCCTCTTTAAGATGAAAACCAGGATGGAACAGACCACACCATGATGGTCTGGGATCCATCAGCACATTGGGTGCCAGGGTTTCAGAAAGCTTGCTGTTCCCTAAAACTAACAGCAAAAGAAACATTGCTTTAAGGCAACCCCTGACTGCCCACATTGGTCTAATACAGTAACACTGTTGTTGTATTTATGAGAGTGATGTGTCATTTTAGCTAGATTAATTCAGAATCAACACATGCAGACAGAAACATCTTTACCTTTACAGCCAGCTGACTACAGTATCTTATCTTGTGTTAACATAAACCTTTCAAATGAATACTTACTTCCATTACACACTATAATTTCCTTTCTGCTGAATATTCTCCTTCAATAGTCCAGAGTATCTGTGCTATATACATATATGTAAAGTATATATGTAAATATATATTTATATATATATATATGTATGTGTGTGTATGTATATATATATATATATATATATATATATATATATATATATGCACTTGTTTTTTTTGGTCAGGATATTAGACATTTGCTATGATTTATAGAAGCACAGTCCTTAGAAATTATTTGACAATGAACTGCAGACTTGGGGCATATTTAAATATTTCAAATATTGTCTGATCATGTGCTGTTCCAAGAGAGAATAAGAGCCAATACCAGAAAATTTCCTCCTGGAATTCTGCCAAAGAATAGCTGGCTGTCCTGGGGAGGTCCATCATTGTGGGACTTTACTGTTTGTAAATTTAATAATTGGCTCACATCTGCTTATAATATTATGGAAGTCTACGCAGAAAGTACTTCTTACATGAAAATCCATTTTAAAAACCATTGCTTTGTGTTTGCACTGTTTGTCTGGGTATGCAGGAGAAATGCTACACTTGTGCTTTGAATCACAGTGTGCTAAGGCTTGAATTTTGGGAATCATCTAGTTCTTTCCCATCATGGTACAGCTTAGGCCCAGAAGAGGTAAGGGAGTCCAGGGAAATATACCTAGAGTTAGTGACAGAGTCAGGGCCTAGAGGGTGACACATCCAACCCTTCCTCCCTTTTTCTCTCCTCTCCTCTCCTTCCTTCCTTTCTACCTATTTTCCTTCTTCCATCCCTATCTGCCTCCTTCCCTCTCTTCCTTTTTTTGTCCCTTCATTCTTCTCCTTTTTAGGCTCAGGTCACATACGCTGCTTCCATGACATATTTATATCACTGGTCTGGGCATGGACCCTCTCACATTTTATCTCCGAATCTGACTTTCTTCCTTCCAAATTGGCAACCATTCTGATGTATTTAATGCCCATGATTTTTATTTTTATGTATTTCCTCTCCTCCCCACCTCAATGCTGTGCTTGCAGATCCTCCTGTTGTAAAGTGTATAAGCATTTATCTGTTGTTCTGGACTGCTATGCTTGTCTGAGGCTGTGGCTCTTCTGGTGGTGTCACCTGCTTTCCAGTTACTATATCCCACAATATTTCTATGACAGACAATCCAGGCCCATTTGCTCTCTCTTAAGCAAAATTCACATGTTTTCCCTCATTAAACTTAGAAAGCAGAATAAGACCATGTAATATAAATGATTTAGCAGTGGCTTTAATAACCTTTCACCTCCAGATAAATTAATGGTACTATTTACTACAAAGTGTAAAGGGTTCAAAAGCTGTCTTTCTTCAATCAAAATAGTGAAAATGCTTTTAAAATGCATTGACTTAAGTTACCAAGAGAAAAATATCTTACATTGTTTTTTAAAAAAGGAACAAACAAGTGAATGAAAGAAAGAAGGAAAGGAAAGGAAAGAAATGTTGGCAGAAAGATGGGAAACTGAACCCTTTTTCTGAAGGACAATTTGGCAATATATATCCAGAGCCTTTGATCTAGTAATTCTGCCTCTGGGAAATTTATCAGAAGGCAATAATAAGGAGTGGGTGCAACGATTCATCAGATAATGTTCACTGCAACATTATTTATAATTGTGAAAAACCTGGAATCAATCTCAATATGTCACCATAAAGGATAAGTTGAACTCTGATATATTCTACTAATTAAATCCACTCAACACATACTTTTTGAGGTCCTGCTATGTACCAGACATGTAGCTTGAGGCTGGGGATATAAAGAGGCTCAAAATAGACAAAAGTCCCATCCTGTAGAACAATGAGCCATTAAACCTGATGCTCTCAGAATACTTATGATACAGTAACTAATAGAGGCAGGATACAAAAAGTATCATTGTATGTCTATTGTTTTATTTTTAGATTTGTAATCATAGAAAGTTTTCAAAACAGAGTACTTACTTGAGAGACATGTATTTTTGAGGATAGTGACCATAAATGATAATAGCATAGTATATATTTCAAAGTTGTTAAGAGTGTAAAATTTAAGTATGATATTTGCAGTGAGGGAGATATTAATTAGCTTTATTTAACTTCTCCACATGGTATGTTTGCATCATTACTTTGTACCCTATAAACATATGCAATTATAATTTGTCAATATATAATTGATTGGTAGTGGACATTACAGGGCGTTTAACCACTGAGCCACACCCCCAGACCTTTTTATTGTTTATGTAGAGACAGAGTCTTGGAAAGTTGTTTAGAGCCTCACTAAGTTACTGAACTTGCTATCCTCCTACCTCAGCTTCCTGAATCACTGGGATTACAGGTGTGTGCCACAATGTCTGACACAATAAATTTTTAATTAAAATATTTTAAAATTGTTTAAAAAGAACAAATGTCCTCCTATAAGCTCAGTACAAAATGACTGATATGTTTAAAAAAAAAAAAAACGGGGCTGGGGTTGTAGCTCAGTAGTGGAATGCTTGCCTAGCATGTGTGAGGCACTGGGTTTGATTCTCAGCACCACATATAAATAAATAAAAATATAGTTCTATCAACAACTAAAAAAATGTTAACACACACACACACACAGAGAGAGAGAGAGAGAGAGAGAGAGAGAGTGTGTTACTCAAGGCAGCATCCTGTTAGTGAAGCAGCCAGGTGTCCCTAGGAGGTGGTAATGATGACCACAGGCAGCTGTCCTTGGGGCAGGTTAGTGCTGACCCCATCATTACAAGCCACTCAATGGGGAGTTCAGAGTTTTATCTAGGACATGGGGTAGTCAAGAAAAGTTCCTATCTACTCACGACTCCATTTACCACCCACAAAATTAAGGTTTGGGGCTTAGGATCCCTTCTGATTCCCTTTAGTCCTGTTGTTCTTCCTTTGCTCATGATTATATTTCATATGCTGTCATTTCCCTATTTTTGCCAGTATTGTGACATGTTTGTGTTTTTTAACTCTCTGAATGACTGAATTGGGTCACTGCTCTACAAATCCAATTGTCAGTCTGTCAACTGTGGAAATCACTGAAATACTTGCTTGTCCATTCTGGGAACAGCTAACTAGTGCTAGTGCTGTACCTGTGTGCCCCTGGGTTTTCTTCTCTATAATGTATGTATTACTAATAGGTATCAATTCTACCAATCACACACAAAATAATCAAGAGGTTTATAGTTATATTACCCATCCTCTTCCTCTTAAAAATGTTCACATATAAAGTTAATTTTCTTTAACTTTTTTAAACATTTATCCTTCTTTAAGAATTAGCAAGTCAAATGACATTTCAAAATAGAAATGTATTATTCCATAAAATCTATGGAAATATTTATTATTGTCTCTCTTCACAATTATTTAAAAATTATTTTAAAACAACTTTCCTGATTGCCCTTGGACAATGATTAGGTTTCAGACTCTTAAAAATCATACCCATTTCCATTTTAGGAGACACATGGTACATGGTAGATTTCATTGCAATTGAAATATCTAGTGGAAATATCTGGTGGATACTTGTCAGTGTTACATTCCATTTGCTTCTTTGCTGACTTTGCCTTGTATTTCTAGACTTCCTGGTAATTGTTCATGATTTTAACCAATATAATATTTGATTACAGAATTGTATGCATATCAACTTAGTTTTTTCTAAAAGTGGATTGTTGATGGTAGAAACACTCATGCTCATTAAAAACAGACTCCTGTGCTCAATTTCAAACCTGCCAAATCAGAACCCCTGGAACTGGGGCCTTATG